GAGAGGAAGAGAAGGAGGTAGAAAGAGAGAGAAAGGGAGAGAGGAAGGAGGAAGGGAAGGAAGGAGAGACAGAGACAGAGAGCCTGACAGATCAAGATGAACTCTGCTCCCCATTCCTGTGAAAGGAGCTGATCTCAGGGTTCTCATGCGACCCTGCCCAGCAGAGGCTGTGTGTGTATGTGTGTGTGCGCTTGTGTGTATGTGCATTAGAAACAAGAGTCCCTGCTGAAAACCAAGCCTTCAGATAACACTGGGCAGGCAGATAAGAGGGAGAGCGCAAGAGTCTGGCGTGGAGACGCACTCCGATTTATTTTCTCTCGTGCTGAACCTTGGACCGGAATGAGACATGGTGACAGCTCAGGGGAATTGGAGAATATGAGAGGAAGGGGGACACACTAGAGACCAAGACCTTGCCTGGGCCCTGCTGCTTCACTGCAGCACAGAATCCTGCCTGCCAGGTGGACATGTGCAGATAATGGCAAAGGAGAGGCTGAGAGCAGGGGAGGGCGGCCTGGCTGGCCCCCAGCACGAGCCTGGCCCTAAGGAGAAGCTGCTGCCCCTGGACCAGGGGGGTGCCCTGTCTGCCCAGGAGCAGGGGCTATGAGTGGGGCAGCTCCAGGAGGGAGGAATGAAGCCATGTGCGGGTAGGAACATCCCAAGGAACAGAGCAGACAGTGGGGGAATGGCCATCAGTCTTGGCTTGAGGACCTTGGAGAGCTCCGAGGCAGCATCCCTCCAGTCCTGGAGGACAAGGGACTTGCCCCCAGGCCCAGGGACGAAAGTGCAACCAGGAGTTCTGTGGAAGGCTTTCTCATTCTTCTGCCATCAAATGAGATTCGTAATTATAAAGTGCTCAGCACAGTGCCTGGCACACAGTAAACGCTGTAGAGACATCAGCTATTGTTGCCATTGTATTTGTTGTCTTAACTAGGGGCTGTTTTCATCACCTGTAGTTTAGCAGTAAAATGGTAAGCAGGGCTTGGGGCTTCTGGGCTCCTAGCGTGGGAAGGGCAGCTCAGAGGGCACTGAGTCCAGCCCTCTGACCCAATGTCAGAGGGAGGGGAGAAAGACCTTAGAACAGAGGACACAGAACGTCAGAGCTGGGAAGAACCTTAGAAATGCCAGGGAAGAGAGAGACTTGAGAACAGGGAAAGTCAGAGCTGGAGGGGCCTTAGGACACAGATCAGAGACTATTGGAGGTGCGTGGTGGGTATGTAATAAGAGTCTGAGTAAATGAAAAGTGGGCTGGATCATCACAGGAGTCACACCAGGCCTTCTTCCTAAGGATTGGTGATGAGTTCTCTGTCTCTGGAGATCTCCAAGGAGGGTCTCACTGATCAACAGTCAGGATGGCATCCATGGGATTTTTGTTCAGATCCAGTTTACCCTGGAGCCCTGTGAGCTCCGTCAGACGTACTAGCTCCAAGATTCTAGAATTCTGTCATTTCCAGCCCTCTGTTATGCGTCCTGTCTATGTGGCGTGTCGTGGAAAGAGTTGGCCAGAAGGCCAGAGCAGGAGGCTTGGGTGTGCGCCGTTCCCGGCTCGTAGCCCCAGAATCCCGGATGCAGCCTGTTCGCGGCTCTTGCCTCAGTCTCCTTCTCTCCCGCCGTGTAGCCCCCATCCCAGTTCAGGGATGTCTTTGTCCATCACCTCCAACCTGGATGACTGTTTCGGGCTTCTCCTTGTGTCTTCTGCCTCCAGCCTCTACCCGCTCTGCTCCGTCCTCCTCGCAGCTACCAGAGGTTTTCCTGCAGGGCCGTCCTGACCAGGGGATGCTCAGGACCCTGCCGGGGGTCCCTGTGGCTTCAAGGATAAAATACAAACTCCTCAGTTTGCCACTCGAAGCCCTTCACGTCTGCCTCGACAGGCACCAAAGTGCAGTGCCAGCTCCACCCGCCACCCCTGGCCCATCCCTGGAGCGCACGCCCTCCAACCTCCTGCCTCCCTTCGCCTTCTCCCTACTTCTGGGAGCTGGCCTTTCCTTCCCTGTGCTACGTGGTGTTGCCTCTCATCTGAATGGAAGCTCCATGAGGACAGGAACTGTTTCCTTTGTTTCTGTGACTTAGTAGGTGTGACTGCATTGAGTGGGATCTTAGTGGGCCTGCTTTAATGAACAGATATGAATGGATACCTAACGGCTCCATCCCTAGACTCGGGGCAATGCTATCCATCCAGGAGCTTGCTAGAGGAATCCAGAGACCTGGGTGTGAATCCTGGCTGTGTCAGCTGTGTGACCTTGGGTCTCAGCTTCCTCCTCGACTGTCGCTAAGGTTCACTCTGGCCTTTTCATTCTGTGCCCGCCATCTTCTTCTGTCCTTAGAGTTAGGGAAACAAAGTCATGGACGTCCAAAGTGAGCATGGATATTCCCCGGGCAGTGAATGGAGCTAATGACCAGCCAGCTGTCCAGGGAGGGTGTGGCGGTGCCGAGGCCACCTTGGACACTTCCTCCTGTTCCCTTAACCTCCTGGGCCTCAGTTTCCTCATCTAGACAGGAGGCCTACAGCACGCACCTCCAACAAGGTCATCTGGGTAAAGTTAGAGTTCCACAGGTTAGACAGAGAGAGACCAAGTCTAAAGCTACCCTCAGGCACTTCCTAGCTGTGCGACCTTTGGCACGTAGTTCACCTCTGTCTGCCTCAGTTTCCTCATTTGTAAAATGAGGATCATAATAGCCCCCATCTCCCACTTGAGGATGGAATGGGAGCATATTTATAGCCTGCTTTGCAAACCTTACTGCGCCTATGAATGCTGTCTGTCATTCTTATTATTGTTAGGTATTCTGCACAGAGGACGTGGGAAGGGTATCGCTGGGTGTGACCCGATTGTTTGATATGCTAACCCTCCTGGGGGCGGGGGTGGGGAGACTGTGTCCTGCCTCAACACTGGGCTCCATGCATAGCGGGTGGGAAATAAATGTTTGTTGAATGAATAAATCAACCCCCATTTTACAGAAGAAGAAACAGAGTCTCAGAGGGGGCTTTTGATGGAGAGAGGCCAGTAGAGGCTGAGAGGTGCAGGCAGCCATGGTGTTTGGTATTGTGGGATTGTTGTGGTGTGTGCCTTTGTATTGCGGCTCTATACTCCCTCCTCCCTGCCCCACTTCCCACCAGGGAGCTAGGGAAGGAGATGTTGAAGAGAGAAGGTCCTATTCAGCCCGGTGCCCCCTGGTGAGCTTGCTTCTGGTGCTGTGCTTGCTGGCGCTGGGCGAGGTCACCTTGTGTGTGCGGTGAATTTGCTGGGCAGTCCCTTTCTCATCGATTTGCAAAGGGCCGACTGAGCCCTGGGCACAGCAGCATCAGAGTGGTGGAGTTTAGAGGTGAGGGCTCCCGCAGACAGGAGCTGTTGAGGTGGGAAGGAGCCGTGTGCTCCTAGCAGGCGCCCTTGCTCACAGTAGGTTCACAAATGGATGTTTAGTGAATGAAGAAGTGCGGGGAGGGGGGTGGTGCTCAGTCAGTGCTGGGTGAATACGTAGTCATTTGGACACTTTGCGG